TACCTTGTGATGGTGTGTATGAAACAGTCACTTGTGTTGATAGCTTAGGAAATAGTGTACTTAATATTGACTTGTCTAATAGTGTAGACAAGGCATGCTTGTGGCATTGTCGTCTTGGACACATTAACAAGAAACGCATAGCCCAACTCCAAAAGGATGGAGTGTTGGAATCATTTGACCTAAAATCAGATGATATGTATGAATCTTGTCTATTGGGAAAGATGACAAAATCACCATTCACAGGGTCTTGTGAAAGAGGTGAAGGTATGTTGGATCTCATACACACAGATGTGTGTCGGTCCTTCAGATCAACTACAAGAGATGCTAATCGATTCTATGTGACTTTCACTGACGATTATAGCAGATATGGATATATCTACTTGATCAAGCATAAGTCAGAAACTTTTGAAAGGTTCAAAGAGTTTAAGCATGAAGTCGAAAATCAATTGGGCAGAAAGATAAAGATACTTAGATCCGATAGAGGCGGGGAGTATCTTAGTATCGAGTTCAACGACTATCTGAAAGAATGTGGGATAGTCTCACAATTGACTCCTCCTAGGACACCACAGTTAAATGGTGTAGCTGAGAGGCGTAATCGGACCTTGTTAGACATGGTTCGTTCTATGATGAGTCGTGCTTCGCTTCCTATTCACTTCTGGGGGTATGCCTTAGAGACAGCCGCCCACATCCTCAATCTTGTCGCTACAAAGAAGGTTGCCAAAACACCTCACGAAATGTGGACGGGGAAAGTTCCCTCGTTGGCACATATTACAGTCTGGGGTTGTGAAGCTTTCGTAAGACGAGAGACTCACGACAAGCTAGCAGCTAGAAGTGAGAAATGTGTTTTCATTGGTTACCCAAAGCAGTCTTTTTGGATATTTGTTCTACAGGCCTAGTGAAAACGTGGTATTTATAGCACGAAGAGGAGTCTTTCTAGAAAGGGAGCTCATATTCAAAGAGGACAGTGGGAGTACCATTGAACTTGACGAAATTCAAGAGTTAGCCAATGAAGGAACCTTAGATGACACTAGCACTCAACCAGAGGAAACAGTTCCTGTTGAACCAGTTGATAATTCATTACCTCTTCGAAGGTCCACTAGGGTAAGTGTGCCACCTGAGTTGTATGGTTTTCATATTACTTCAGATGGTGACACATTCATAAGTGACAGAACACTGGTAAACTTAGATGAACCAGTCACTTATAAGGAAGCAATGGCAGGCCCAGAGGCTTCCAAATGGAAAGAGGCAATGGACAGCGAGATTAAGTCCATGTATGACAACCAAGTTTGGAATTTGGTTGATAGTGCACCAGGTCGTAAGACATTTGGGTGCAAATGGATCTTCAAGAAGAAGACAGACATGGATGGGAATGTGCATACATTCAAGGCTCGACTGGTTGCAAAAGGTTTCACTCAAACCCCAGGGGTTGACTATGATGAGACTTTTTCGCCAGTAGCTAAGATTAAATCTATTAGGATATTGCTCGCCATAGCTGCCTTTCATGACTATGAAATCTGGCAGATGGATGTCAAGACTGCTTTCCTTAACGGGAAGTTGGCTGAGGATGTTTACATGAATCAGCCAGAGGGTTTTGTTGATGCAAAGTTTCCCAATAGAGTGTGCAAGCTTGAGAAATCCATTTATGGATTGAAACAAGCATCTCACAGCTGGAATCTTTGCTTCCATGAGAAAGTCAAAGAGTTTGGTTTCTCTAGAAGTGAAGATGAGTTTTGTGTGTATATCAAGGCTAGTGGGAGTATAGTAACTTTTCTGGTGTTATATGTCGATGACATATTACTCATTGGTAACGACGTTCCAACCTTGAGAGATGTTAAGTCTTGGCTTGGAAAGTGTTTTGCCATGAAAGACCTTGGAGAAGCTGCCTATATTCTTGGGATTAGAATATTGAGAGATAGAAAGAAGAGACTAATTGGACTTAGTCAGAGCACATACTTGGATAAGGTACTAAAGAGGTTTAGTATGGAAAATTCCAAGAAGGGAGAGCTACCTATCCAGAGCAACACCAAATTGAGTAAGACTCAATGCCCGAGTACAGATGTTGAAATAGATGACATGAGTCGTGTACCTTATGCTTCCGCTGTCGGATCGATCATGTACGCTATGACATGTACTCGCCCTGATGTGGCATTTGCTTTAAGCATGGTCAGTCGCTATCAGGGAAACCCGGGTAGAGCTCATTGGATAGCAGTAAAGAATATACTCAAGTATTTGCGAAGGACAAAGGACTGGGTCCTTGTACTTGGTGGCAATGATACTTTGAGAGTAGATGGTTACAGTGATGCCAGCTTTCAGACGGATAGAGATAACTTCCTTTCTCAATCGGGCTGGGTATTTTTACTGAATGGAGGAGCAGTTACTTGGAAAAGTTCCAAGCAAGATACGGTGGCTGATTCTACTTGTGAATCAGAGTACATAGCAGCGAGTGAAGCGTCGAAAGAAGCAGCTTGGTTGAGGAACTTCATCGGAGATCTCGGAGTTGTTCCAACCATTCAGGAGCCTATGGAACTGTTCTGCGATAATGAAGGAGCGGTTGCCTTGACAAAGGAACCGAGAGATCATGGTAAAACCAGACATATCCACAGAAAGTACCATTTCATCAGATATAGAGTAGAAGAAGGCCATCTTGTAGTAAAGAGGGTGTCATCTGAAGATAACCCAGCAGATCCCCTCACAAAGGGTCTGAGTAGGGCTAAGCATATTCAGCATGCTCGGAGCATAGGACTGAAAGATGATATTAGTTTTAGTAGTTAGATTAGTTTTGTTCTGAAATTTGTAACAAAGTAAATGTAATTCACTTTTGGTGATTAAATAATAAAGTATTATTTATAAGTTTGGTTACTGCCTTTTGTCGATTGGTTGTTATTGTGTTTCATATTTTGCATGTTTTACTTCCCGAATAATTTAATTATTCAAACTCCACAGTCGCTCGTACTTTTGGAAGTAAGTAGTGAATTAAGACTGTCATGAACTAGATTGTAGATTGTATGAGGATAGACATGGCAATAGAATTGCTGCAATGTTCATGAGTACTCAAAAATTGAGATTTGAGTATTGGATAAACCCTCGCTCAGAGTATCACTTCATGGAATTCATCACGAGTAATACTGAGACGATAATATCTTATAATCTTGAAACGAAGATATATGAGTTGTAATTTACAAAGTCGGTTATACATTGGTGATATGAAAACGCATCAGTAACTTGGTGTTATAAAACGTATTGTCATGTATAATTTGATGAGTAAAAGATACAAGCATATGAGTCAACGTTTATTCGTTCCTTTTGCCCTAACCGAAAAAGCGATATCTGTGGGCCCCTCGATGATTTGGTGTTGACTTATGTGTTGGGCCCAGCCAGGACTAAATTGATGTGTTCAATTAGAAGTCCTACATCATCACAAATCAGGAATCGGGAAACATAGATTCTGGACAAAGAGATTTGATTACATTCCATGTCTTATGTCTAGGGATATCTAGCAGAACGAAGGATTATATGATCACTTATCTTAGGACACGTAACTGACTGGATCAGAGTTCGGCAGCAGCTTTTTGGAAGCTACAATTTGCTGGTCAAATTTAGAAGGCATACTAGCAATTATAGTTACAGACTTATCCAAGTGGGAGACTGTTGGATTAGGTGTCTAAGCCCATAACTATAATTGGTATGTACTTGAATTGATAGCAGCACAGTCCTTTTGGGTTGCCCTCAACCTAGCAACTGGACAAGGAAATTATGAAAGGAGAGATATTAATTTATAAGATTAATAAATTAATATAAATGATTTATTAATATGTTAAAAGATTAATATATTAATTAGAAATCATTATGTTTAATTAATAGTTAGCCAGAAATTAATCAGAATTAATTTTGGGGTTAAAAGTATTAATTATAAAGTGCAGGGACTAGTTTGCAATTAACTAATAGTTGAGTGGAAGGTTCCAGAACCCCCTTGGAAGGAGGTGGACGAAATTCTTAGGGGAAACCCTAGAGATTTCGTCCAAGGGGTCCAAATAAGGCCTTTGGATCTTGTTTAGGCCCTAAGCAAAGGATAACTAGGGTTTTCCCTAAACCCTAGATCCCTCAGCTATTTAAGGAGCCTCCTGGCTCACATTTGAGGTCACTGATTTCTTTGGAAGAAACCCTAAGGCCGAAATTGCATACTCTCTCCATCCTCTCTCCTCCAAGTTTCCTTCTTGCTAGTTCTTGGGTGTGATTCCATTAGAGGCATTACATTTGTGGTGCTAGGCTTCCAAGAAGATCAAGATCAAGATCAAGAGGATTATCAATTGTTTGCTATAACAATTAAAAGGTATGTAACTCCTAAACCCTATTTTGTTAATTTCGAAATTGGCCTCTCTCCTCTAGGGTTCTTGTTTTACAATTCAAAGTTATATGTTCAATAGTTAAAACATAGATCCAAAGTAGGTTGCATGTGAACTTAGGAATTGTTTTCTAGTTTATTTGTTTTACCTAAAACCCATCAATTTACTCATTTTATTAAGATATTTGTAATATTTTTTAAATAAATTGTTTTATAAGTTTGGGTCACCGATTACTCCTCATCTATGTAGATTATCCGTTGATCCCAATTGACCAACAAGCTAACATGGATTCTTTTTTTTTTTCTTTTTTTTCTTTTGCAACCGTGATTGTAGATGACGTTTACAAAATCCAACATGTACGATCACTAAGAGATTATTATTTTTATGTAAAAAAAAGTATTTTGGAATATTGGGATTCAAACAAAATAATTGAGATTATTTGTTTTGTCAAGACCCATTCAACTTAATTATTTTCAAGTTTTTTAATTGTTTGATTTACAAAAGTACGCCTTTCCTATCGCAGGCAAATTTAGTAATGACTATTTGTAGAAGACTTCAAAACTTTTATAAAGAAAATATTTTATAGTATAATGTATAATGAAAGAACCAGATACATAAACTATCTTTTTATAAAACTCTAGCTAAGCACATGAATTTCTATTACATGCCCTTCTCACTTAGTACAAATCACTTCACATCTTATTATTCATAGGATAACATGATTTTATAAGAAACATTAATCGAATGTTGCTCTCTTTCCTTCCTTGAATTTATTTTGGGTAATGCTATTTGGTTGAGGTCATTCATAGGATGAGGTGAACCACTAGGGAAAAAATACAAATAAGAGTGGTGCCAAAGAGGATTGAAAAACTCATAGGGCCAAAAATTAAGAGGATTGTTTGTAGATACTCAGGGTGTTTTTTAGGTTTGTGTATATAATTCGATGCATAGTCCCATCCGTATGGTCTATGGTTTCCCTTCAACGTCTTTTTTGTCCTCATCACCTTGATCCTATCGTTTGGAACCATCATATTTAAATCCACGGGATTACTCGACCACCCTGTCAAGATAGAAATTTTCCAAGAATATTAGCTAGCAGATAACCGAGCATTCGTTCATTAATGTCTGTGTGCATTTAACAACACTACTGTACGTATATTAAAAATAATTATATGTATGGTATCAAGCTATAAACTCCTCACAAGTTATACAATTATAAAGTTCTTATTACCTTCAAATTGAGATCTTTGAGCACTAATCTTTAAGCGTGAGCTGACTTTGTGCTCCTTCTGCGGTGGGAGCATTGTACCATATGCAAAAGAAGGTGTTAATGTTGACATCTTCATGTTGCGTTTTCAGTCTTGATTGATTTTTTGGTGTGTTTTTGTGGAGATTTGGATTGATTGTGGTGATTATGAGAAATAGATTGAGTTGTCTAGTTTGAGTCGTGTTTCGTCAAGTGTATTTGTATGTGGCATTGGTTGCCCTTTTAATTTCATCAACTGTACTTCTATGTTGAATTCGTTGTCTTTTTAAGTTCTTTCATTATCTGATAGGAACAATTCACAGATATAGTCACAACGTAGCCTATGTATGGTTCGGCATGTAGCATGACATATATCTGAACAGGGTAAAATAATGTTGCTTTTTCAGCTGCCCATGTTACGATTATAACATAACCGCCATGATTTTATCTTATAAAGATTAATGTTCGATATTTTTAGTGATGTGTCCTTAGGATTTTAAATGTCTTTATGAGAGTTCATAGTTATTGTTATTCATTTTTTTAGTTGTAAATTTTATGATAAACTAATATTAATCTATATGAAAACGCATACAAAATACTAGATTTTGTAAAAATTAACATAATTACATACAAAAAGTCAAGCTGAACATATTTATCAAGCATCGGTAAACTTGCATAATCTAAAGGTTTTTGAAATTATCACGAAGACGTTTGTTAATAATAAGAAACCAGGTATGGTAATATAAAATTACTAGTTGTCAGACCCGTTTACTATACAGGTTTATTAAAAAATGTGAAGATCTACAAATTTATGAAATTTGAATTTCTAAAGAAAGTAAAATATTGAATTATTAAAATGTAATGTTCAATTTTTTTTGAACTTTTTTCATTTCTTTTTTAATTGTATAAAATTTAGAAACTTAAAAATTGAAAATAACTGCATTAATTAAATTGAGATATATTTATTATTCGTATATTTATTAAAAATTTTACATTTAACTAAAATTTTAATAAAATGGAAAAAAAAAAACTATATAATGACAAATAGAAAAATAAAAAATTAAAAATTCTTAATATGTGTTAAATGTAAAGAGAATATTATATTTAACAAAAATGATTTTCATTTATTAAGATGGACATAATTAGGATAGATGTTAACAATTATATGTATTGTGGTGTACTATTACACTACTTTTGGTTTATTAGTAGTTTATTTATTTTGTATTCAAATGTGAAAATTGTATTTCTCGAAATTTATATTGTTCTGTTTTTATATATGTCAATATGTGTTTTTATATATTTCAATATGTGTAATTAAGATTATTTTTGAAAACGACACAAACCTTATCATGCTGGTGCATATGAAAAGTTAGGAATGAACTAACTTTCTAAAGGACCACCAAGTCGGTGCATTAACAATAATATGGTGTTGAACTCACTAAGAAGCAATCTTAACAATAACATGGTGTTGAACTCACTAAGTAGCAATCTAATTTTTATGGTCAAAATAATAAAAAATCTCAAAAAATAAAAATAAAAATAAAAATAAAATAATGAATAAACAAAAATTCTTATAAAAGTCCCAATATTCTCGGAAAAGTTTCACTTTAGTCCCAAATTTTTTTTTAACAGATAAGTCCCGATTATTCCATTTTACATGATAATAAGTCATTTCCTGTTAAAAAAAAAAATTTTAAGTCGAGTCAAACTAAAATAATCAGGACATTTATGTTTAAAAAAATTAGGACTAAAGTAAAACTTTTCCAAAAATACTAGGACTTTTCTAGCAATTTCCCTAGTTTCCAAAGTGAAAAATCACAAATCAGAGTATCCAAAAATTGAATCTCATAAAAACAGAAGGATGTGCACGATCAAGCATTTGCCTTGCCCGAGTAACTGAAATACTTGAAACATAAAACTTAAATTATAAGCCAAAGCTTAGTGAGTTCTTCCAAATACCACACACGACCACACAATATAGAAAATGCATGTTGGGTCCACAATCTCCTGATTGGATCACCCTTGCCCACAACCACCCGGTTAGGTTGTCACTTTGGCCCACAATTCTCGATTGGATTGCCACTGGCCCACAATCTCCCAATTGGATTGCCACTCTGGCTCACAACCTCCCGGTTGGATTGTCATCGGGTTTGTTGGCCGACAACACAAAGTAGTACAACCTCAACCTAAACCACACTATGTCGACATATGAAACAAATAAATATATATAGCAACAAACAAATAAACATGCAGATCTCATCAGATCACCACAACATAGCAACATCCTAAACCATGATACATAATCTACTGGGCCGACATTGGTGTCTTCAACCCACAAGTACAGTGAGGAAAACTCACCTCACAGTCTGAAAAGATAGCAAAAAAGAAAGTTGCACCAAAAGTCAACTCTACAAGTCACCTATACAACAAACAGTGACCTAAACTCAAACTACAGCTCAAAATACCCAAAATATCCCTAAGTCAACCTTGGTTAACTCTTGGTCAAAGGTCAAAGTCAACAAAACAAAAAGTCAAAGAAAGTCAAAGTTGATTGAGTACGCCCAGCGTACTCAGCCATTACATCGAGCATAGTCGAGACTTCAACCAAAAATACGGGACACAAACCATGTACGCGCATCGTACCACTTGGTACGCCCAGCGTACGTCGTCTAAGCCCATTCCTTCTCATTAAGTGCTTAATCCTTAAGGGTTTTCCATCAAAACTTAGATCTAGACTCAAAACATCATCTTAAGTCATAAAGTTTCCACCTTTATGACTTTCCATGGCTAAAAAAGGTCAAAAGCTAAAACCCTAACTTTATTAATCCATTAAGACATCATAACTCTTCCATGGAAGGGATAGAAGGACCAAGATCACATTTTTAGGGTTCCTAACACCTAGAAACGTATAAAAGGACAGCTCTTCTGGTTAGAGTAATCTTTACTCATGAACACCAAGCTTATAGGACCAAAATGAACACAAATTCAAAACTAACAAGATCTAAGCGAATAAATCATCAAGTTTCGTACTTTATACCTTCAAAGGATGCTTGAGGGTGAAACACTTCTAGATCCAAGATCCCTTGAGCTCCCCAGATGATTTCCCTTCCCTCCACTTCCTTCAAAAACACCAAGAATGCACTCTCAAGCTCAAAAAGGCTCACAAAAGGATAAGGGTTTGCTAAGGACGAAATGAGAGATGGAGGCTGATGAGGGAAGGGGTCTTGAGGGGTTAATGATGTTTAAATAGGGTTCAAACCCTGAAAATTTGGGTTTGGGTTCTTACAACATACGCGCAGCGTACGCACAAGTCATGTGTCTCTTACTTATGGAGCCATGGGACCATTTTTGCAATTAAATTCCATACTTAGGGTCCAAAATGTAAATTAACTGACTAATGAATGTTACAATTCTCCCCCACTTGAATCAGACTTCGTCCTCGAAATACGATGCTGCGAACAACTCAGGGTAGTGCTCTCGCATCTCCGCCTCGGGTTCCCAAGTCCATTTGGATGCCTTTCGATGCTGCCACTGAACCTTGAGCAATGATACCACCTTCTTGCGCAAGGTCTTCATCTTCCTATCTAGAATCGCCACTGGTCTCTCAACATAATTGAGGCGAACATCTACCTAAATATAATCTAAAGGAACAATTGTTGAATCGTTAGCCACACACTTCCGAAGCTGGGAAACGTTGAAAGTGTTGTGAATCTGACTTGAGCTCCTCTAGAAAATCTAACCGATAGGCTACCTTGCCTACCCTGGCTAATACTCGAAACGGTACATGTAACGTCCGCAGATTCGGGTTAGTCAATTTAGAGACAATAAACGTCAAAAAAGACTTTTTGATCGAATAATATTTGGAATAAATAATCTTAACCAAGTTATATTATATGTCACAAGGGTTCCGTACATATAAAGAACGCTGAAATCCGATTTATAACGATGAAGTTATGACCCGTTGAAGTTTTACGGCAAAACCGACACGAAACCGGGAATCGTAAAAAGTGAGTTTGCGATAAAGTACTTTTTAGCCTTAGTGATCTAAACTAAAGTCGTAGTATACGTTAAACCGAGAGCATGCATAAAAAGAATGCCCAAATCTGACTTCGTGTGAGGAAGTTATGATTTTTTTAAGATTTAGCACAGCAGTGCACAGCCTGGAATTCGAATTTTAGATTGATCGATTATTAGCCGATACAACCTAAATGATAATTGAAGATCTAATTAATAGGATTTCAACGATAAAAAGACAGTCGAAAACAGAGTCCGTATGTAGAAGTTATGAATTTTACACGGTCGTTAAACAGTGTAATCTTCTCATACTGTTAAATTAAAAATCGGTCGATAATTAGCCGATGGTGTCAAAAAGAGAGTTGTATATCTAGTCCATACCTACGTATGGATATAAAGAACGTCAAAAACGAAGCTCGTATGCGAAAGTTACGGATTTTAGAAGATAATTAGTTTTTGGAGTAATCTGCGAGTGACACATGGCACAATCCTAACCATTGCTTCCTCCCCACGCCTTGCCACCAGATGGTGAGACTTGGCACTCAACTCAAAGAGTTGGAGGCTCTGAACTCACTAAGTTGGTCCAAATTCCAGCCTATAAATAGAAGCGCAAATCACTTCATTTCTCACACCATTCTAACTCATTCTCTCCCAACACCTCCAAACCCTTAAGGCTTTTCCCTAGCACTTCCTATGTGTTACAGGCGAGTCCCGGAGCGCTAGAAGGCTCCGAGAAGAAGAGCTTTTAGCTCAGAAGTTCTGCCCCCGCAGAGCCCGGTTCTTAGCCAAACATCCTGGTAAGTGAGTTATGCTTACACTACTTCAAGTATAGCTTCTGTTTAAGTTCACTATCGTTATTATGAACTTATTAGCAATAAATATATTATTATAAAATATAAATATACAAAGTGTTATTATAATATCTTTTAACTACTCGCGGGATGGGGAATCTGGTTTGAAGGGCCGCATAGGGTTGTTGGATTTCAGAAGTGCTATAATGCGAAACTGGTCATGCCCTCCGGTGTTTCATGTATGGCCCCTGTCTGTACATAGTGGTTGAAAAGTATTTTTTAACACTTATAAAACAAAAATTGCTCGTAATTAGTTTTGATAAATATTTGACTAAAATCTAGTGGTAATAATACAAGGTTTCGTTGAAGGAAATTATATTGTTAGAAGCGAAGCGTTGTCCAAGTTGGAATCACCACTTTAACAAGTGAGTGCATAGTTACTTTCATCTTACA